AGGTGCCAAGTCGGCCACGTGCCGACCGTTGCGCCGGATGTGCCACGCCGACCTCGTGCGCACGTGAAATTGCCACGTAGGTCGGCCTCGCCAAGACCACCTGGATGAATTTCCCGCACTCCCGCAGACCTTAGTCAGCCAGGTTACACGGTCGACCAGAGGAGGGCGCCGACGTCCACAAGTCAGCGTCATGTCCAAGAACACTTTTGTCGGTAGCCGACTTCACCTCGCCGACCAACACCACGGTCGGCTTCGCTGAAGCCGACCTCCTCCAGGGCGGCTCACCGTCGAAGCTGGCTAACCACGCCGATTTGAGCCTCCAAATAGGCTAACCAGCAAGTCGGCCAATCAAGTCGACTTGCCCCTCCAAGTCCGCTAACCAAGCCGACTTGGCCGACCACAAAGTCGGCTCCGCCGTTCGTTGAAGTCGGCTTCGCAGTGGTCGGCTTCGCAATGGTCGGCTTCGTAGTGGTCGGCTTCACCGAAGTTGGATAACCGCCGAAGTCGGCCAACCAAGTCGACTTGCTCCTCCAAGTTAGCACCGACTACGAAGCCTAGCCCGCTGCACACCTTGCAAGCCAGACAATGAATCCAGCTTCGCCCAAGCAAGGGCGGAGCCTTTTCTCGTCAACAGTGTGGAACCAACTGAGGACCCGGGCTAAGCTATGTTGGAGTCGACGTGCTACACTGTGCGAATGAGAGGTATAACAATATGGATGGAAAATTTACTCCAATTGTTCCACCTCGAGTGTAAGCACAAACCGAACCCGAAGGGGTGTTCCCGAGCTTTGACAAACCTACTTCTTTGTCGAGCCGAAGAAGTTCGGTTCGTCCAAACATTTTCTTACGATGCTGAGGTTGGAAGTTCGGCAGTACCCTGTCGAACTTTCGGATGTTCGCTGAATTGAGAAGAGAAGGGTTCAGTCGAACTCCATCATGTTCGATTCGAGATGCCATTTCGCTCGTCACATTGAAAGTGGCCTTGTACTTTCGGGTTACCAAGACCTATTGTGCAGGATATCTTGGAGTATGTATGGGAGACGTTGACCCAAGCTTAAACTTTCCAGGGCATTTCTTTGATCCCACCAAATCTCGCATTTCGCCGCCAGATCCCCTCGGATCTTTCATTCTGCCGCCAGATCCCCACAAATCTTGCATTTCGACGCCAGATCCCCACAAATCTTGCATTTCGACGCCAGATCCCCACAAATCTTGCATTTCGACGCCAGATCCCCACAAATCTTGCATTTCGACGCCAGATCCCCACAAATCTTGCATTTCGACGCCTGATCCCCACAAATCTTGCATTTCGACGCCTGATCCCCACAAATCTGGCATTTAGCCGCCAGCTCTTCACGGATCTGGCATTTCGTGGTCGGATTCTCGCTCTGGCATCTGCGAAACCTAAACCTTAAACCTGAAACCCTAACTGAACTTACGTTTAGAAACCAGGTGCGACTCATATTGGCCCTTCACGCCCTGAAATCATTACTGTCATCGCGTGGATTGTAGACATATCTGTCGAACTCATTCTGCCAAATAAGGACACAGTTTTCCTTATAAATATGGGAAAACAGGTACCTGATGAATCTTATAAATGGGAATGGTTTATCATACACAGTGTTATTCTAACCACTATGGAAACTCCTACAGATGGGTTCTCGAAATGAGTACAAATGTTCCAAAGCTGCCGGCTTTGGCAATCATTATTGGGGATGTCATGTCAAAAGAAATGCCCGCTGACGCAGGATGAGATAAAATCTGGATTATCTGAGTCAGCTCGTGCACAAATTCTTGCGAGCACAGATACAATTGTATGCGCTATTTTATTTTTTGGTGGCGCATATTACTGTGCCGATTATAAGGCATGTGCGTCATGTCTAATACTGGCAATAAGATCCTTGATAGAAAGAATTCTTCTTTATAGGAATAAAATATAATTGTGACTTCAAGTTGGCACTGTCTTCTATCCGGGCGATTACGTCGGTAACTTGGCCGAGCTAGGCTAGACCATCCCATTGTTCAGAAAGTAGGTGCAAACTTGCTTTCCTCAATCAACATAGTCAGTGGTTGTGTGTTGTCAGTGGTTCTTTTTTTTCGATTTTTTTTTTCCTTTTTTTTTTCTTTTTTTTTTGGCACACCGCCGCTTGGGTTGGATGTTTCAGATAATGCAGTGAAATTCACGGAGCAAGGCCACGTGACAGTGCATGTGTCCCTGGTGCCACACAGAACAAGTTTGCAAGACACCCTTCATTGCCAGGGTAAGCGACTATGCGAGCATTGACAATAGAATGTGGGGCTCATTCCCCTCTTCATATTAATGCAAGCATCGACATCAGCGAGCACCTTTCAACCTTTGCCCACTTCGTTATGTGCCTCTCTAAGATGATGCATGCATTGACACAAGGCCCATGGCCATGTCAACAACGCATTCCCTCTAATCGTGACCCTTTGCTATTGCCTTTCTCCCCCAGGCTTTTCCACCACCGTCCCTCGTGCACCCACTTCCACATTCACTAGCTGGACCTCTGCCTGGACTTACTCAACATTTCGCCGGCTGAAGGAAGCTGCAAAGGCGTTGCCAGAAGCAGCAGCAAGTGCAACTAGCAACGCATTATGTGGATCAAGGGAGGGGAGGGGGGATGCCAGGAGTCCAGAGGGGGCCAATGGGCAGCGGCCAGCTGTGCTGGTGGTGTCATGCCGTGACTCGGGATGCGGCCTGCCAGCGTCTCTCCTCGGAGTTCACAGCAGCAGAGAGGCTTCGCACTTCTCGCTTGCGGTGAGTGTGAATGAGGGAGTAAGTTTCGTGTCACCTGTGGGAGGTCTAGTTTTGAGGCGCCTCAAAACTAGTTTCAGGTCACCTGTGGGAGGTGGAATTCTTCAGGATGCGGCCTGCCAGCGTCACTCCTCGGAGTCCACAGCAGTAGAGAGGCGTCGCACTTCTCGCTCGCGGTGAGTGTTAGCTCTTACGTTGCTGGTTGCTGGTGGTGTCGTGACGGGATTTGGGGTGCTGCCTGGGAGGGGCCCTAACACTCAGGTTCAGGGTTCCTTTCTCCATCCGCTTATTTTTTTTAGTCGACTCAAAAGCAGATTCAGAAGTCGTTCATCCATCCGTTTATTTTTTTTAGTCGACTCAAAAGCAGATTCAGAATTCGTTCATCCATCCGTTTATTTATTTTAGTCGACTCAAAAGCAGATTCAGAAGTCGTTCATCCATCCGTTTATTTTTTTTAGTCGACTCAAAAGCAGATTCAGGGTTCCTTTTTCCATCCGTTCTTGTGCCGTTTTTTGGGCTGCCTGCTGCCTCAAAAACAGACTCAGTGTGTTCTTTTCGCATCCCACTTCCCTGCGTTTTCAACCCCCTTGTGCCTCTCGCCTCTCATTCCCTCTTACCTGTCCATTCCCTCATACGTCCCTTCTCTCGCAACCCAACCCCGTCCTACCTGGATCCGACACTTGTAATACCCTGCTCTCATACTGCTCCCATCCACCCCATCCCATGCCATCCCATCCCATGCCATTCCATCCCATGCCATCCCATCTCATCCCATCCCATCCCGTCCCGTCCCGTCCCATCCCATCCCATGCCATGCCAACCCATCCCATCCCATGCCATGCCATGCCATGCCATCCCGTCCCGTCCCGTCCCGTCCCGTCCCGTCCCGTCCCGTCCCGTCCCGTCCCGTCCCATCCCATCCCATGCCATGCCATGCCATCCCATCCCATCCCATCCCATCCCATCCCATCCCATCCCATCCCATCACATCCCATCCCATCCCATCCCATCCCATCCCATCCCATGCCATCCCATGCCATGCCATGCCATGCCATGCCATGCCATGCCATGCCATCCCATCCCATCCCATGCCATGCCATGCCATGCCATGCCATCCCATGCCATGCCATCCCATCCCATCGCATCCCATCCCATCCCATCCCATCCCATCCCATCCCATCCCATCCCATCCCATCCCATCCCATCCCATCCCATCCCATCCCATGCCCTCCCATCCCATGGATCTCATCCTGGCTGTAACCCCTTGGCGTGGCTTGGCATGGCATGGCATGGCATGGCATGGCATGGCATGGCACCCCACCATCCATGAGTTGCACGAGGCAGGGAGTGGGCCAGGAGCATCGCTTGGCCTTGTGCTCATGCACCAGATGGTGAGTGCTCATGCACCAGATGGTGAGTGCTCATGCACCAGATGGAGAGTGGCCACTTCATGATGATCCGTTTTTTTTGGTAGTGGCAGAATTTTTTTTTTGTCGATCCAAAAGCAGACTTCTAGAGCTTCAACACAAGGCCAATTGAGAATGTGATTGGTAGTGGCGGAAATTTGAGCCTTGAGAGTGTCGTTAGGACATTGAGAACTGTAGCTTCAAACATGTCTTATAAGGGAGTAATGCACACACTACAGTGCAATGCTGGCATACCAATGTGACAATGTCATGCCTTCAACATGACGTGGCTTAGTTTACTACTTTCTCTTTTGTAACCCTCAGGTGACTTTAATGAAGGGGGAGATTGCCTTTGATTCCCAGCCTGGCTGTGGCTCCACTGTGGCATTTTCCGTGCCCGTGGCCGTTCCCTCGATACAAGAACACTCCTCGCTACAAGAACACTGCTCATATGAGGAAGCAGAAGTGTTGGAATCGCAAGACTTGCAGAGTCAGCAGCAGCAAGGGGGGGCGTCATGGTTCTGTGAGAGTCAGGAAACAGGGTCAGGCAATTCCCCAGGTGGTTCCAGCAGTACTCGAGAGCAGGATACAGGTTCAGGAGTTTTTTCAGGTGTTGGCAGCAGTACACAGAAACATGGGCTGGAATCAAGGGAGGAGTGTGAAGAAAAGCACAGCTAGGAGAATTATCAGGTGGTTCAGCAGAACCTGAACCAGCAGCAGCAACAGCCGCAGCCGCAGCAGTCACAGCATCAACATGAGCGATCACTAGCGGGAACGGGGAGGGTAGGCAGTGCAGGAGAAGTCTCAACAGTCTTAGATCAAAGAGCAGCACGCGGGAGAGCAAGAGACAGGTCTCGTCGATCCGTCTCTGTAGCCGAAATCACCGCCACAACCACGGGACTACGAGCGGCGGCGGATGAGGTGGTGACGCGGGCGTGGGTGGGCGGGCTGCGAGTGCTGGTGGTGGACGACACGCCCGTCAACCTCCTCGTGGCCCGCCGCTCCCTCGCCCGCTGGGGCGCCTGAGTCACCACTGCTTCCCGAGGGGAGGAGGCACTTGAGTTGATTGCTGCTGACCTTGTCTCCACCACCTCCCGAGGAGAGGAGGCGCTTGGCGGGTTAGTTAGAGCAGGTGCTCGGGGGGCTGGTGAGATGGGTGAGAGTAGCGGCAAGGAGATAGCGGCTGGGGAGCTGGTTGGGAGCAGTGCGGATAGTAGGGAGGGGTTTGGCGCAAGTGGAGCAAGGGGAGCTAGTGAGAGAGGAGGTGATGCACGAGGAGTGGATGGGAGAGGCGGGGACGGAAGAGGAGGGAATGAAGGAGGCCGTGCATCATTGCAGCATGGCTTCGACTTGGTTCTCATGGACCTGCAGATGCCGGGCATGGACGGGTGAGTGGTGGTGGGTGGTGGTGAGTGGTGGTGAGTGGTGATGAGTGGTGGGTGGGCATACACGGGTGAGTGGTTGTGAGTGGTGGTGGGTGGTGGTGAGTGGTGGTGAGTGGGGGTCAAGGATTGGTGGGTCATGAAGCAAGGTGCAACAACTGAGGCCCAAGTGTGTAACTGTGCTGCTCCTCCCTTCCCCTTCCCATAGCAAAGTGTGAACCTTGAAGTGCGAGCCTATATTTTCCCTCCCTTGCCTTGCCACATTCGCAGCAACAGAGGCGATCTGAGCTTTCGAGAGAAATCTTATGTTGGAAATGGCACAAGAGGTGCAGCAGGAAAGAAACCCTGTATTGCCCCTGTCTTGCCCCTCCCTTGCCTTGGCAGGTTCGCAGCAACAGAGGCGATCCGTGCATACGAGAGAAAGCTTATGCTGGGCATGGCACAAGAGGCACAGCAGGGAAGAGAGCAGGGGAGGGAGGAGGAAAGGGAGCAGCAAGGAGCATTGGCTTCAGAGGGAAGTATGGGAGGGCAACAGGGAAGCGTGCAGCAGGGAAGCATACAGCAGGGGGACATATGGGAGAGCGCAGGGGGGAGAGCAGCAGTGGCGGGAGAGATGCACAGGCGGGGCATGAGCTGTGGAGGAGACTGGGGGAGGGGAGAGAGATTTGTGCACAGGGAAATGGGAGGACAAGGAGGGCAGATTGAGGGAGCTTCTAGGGCTGGTTCGTCTGCTCTGCAAGCCTCTCACCTAGAAGCTGCTAACGCTGCTGCCTGCTGCTGCTGCTGCTGCTGCTGCTGCTGCTGCTGCTGCTGCTGCTGCTGCTGCTGCTGCTGCTGCTGCTGCTGCTGCTGCTGCTGCTGCTGCTGCTGCTGCTGCTGCTGCTGCTGCTGCTGCTGCTGCTGCTGCTGCTGCTGCTGCTGCTGCTGCTGCTGCTGCTGCTGCTGCTGCTGCTGCTGCTGCTGCTGCTTCTTTGAGTGCCCAGGCTGTCTCCCTGCGGGTGCCCATAGTGGCTCTGACGGCAGACGTGGATCGTGGAGTGGTGCAGAGGTGTGCAGAGGGGGGATTTGACGGTGTGCTGCAGAAGCCAGTGGATGCCCACCTGCTCGCCGCCCACCTCTCCCAAATGTGCTTCCACCGCTCCCTCGGGCGATAGCAGTCTCTGGGACGGTAGCACTCACCCTCACTGCACTTCCACTGCTCCCTCGGGCGATAGCAGTCTCTGGGACGGTAGCACTCACCCTCACTGCACTTCCACTGCTCCCTCGGGCGATAGCAGTCTCTGGGACGGTAGCACTCACCCTCACTGCACTTCCACTGCTCCCTCGGGCGATAGCAGTCACTCCATCACTCATTCTTTCCGCACCCACCTGCTCGCCGCCCACCTCTCCCACATGCACTCCCACCAATCACTTGGACGGTAGCACTCGGTCATAAGCAGTCCCTCCTAACGCACCTCTCCCAACTGCACTTCCACCACACGCTACAGCAGTAGCAGTCACTCACAGCGCACTTCTCAAAACCCAAATGCACTTTTGTCCCTTTCTCAGGCAATAGCACTCACCCGCAGCAGTAGCAGTCACTCACAGCGCACTACCCAAAAAGCCACCCACCCAAACTACTGACCGGCTGGACGCTGATTGCACTTCCACCACTCGCTCTGGTGGTAGCAATCACTCCAACACTCCAACACTCACACGCTCCAACACTCCAACACGCACACACTCACACGCTCCAACACTCCAACACGCACACACTCACACGCTCCAACACTCCAACACTCACACGCTCCAACACTCCAACACGCACACACTCACACGCTCCAACACTCCAACACTCCAACACTCACACACTCACACGCTCCAACACTCCAACACTCACACACTCACACGCTCCAACACTCCAACACTCACACACTCACACGCTCCAACACTCCAACACTCACACTCACACCCCGTCCGCAACTCACTCACTCAGGCTGCATCACAGGTCAGTCCCACACAAAGTATTGGCAGATTGTCCACGGACAGGCGGCTTCGCAGTCCGCTCCTGACTTGTTGGAGACGGTTTTGCAACGAGGAAGGAGCGAAGAGGAAGGAGCGACGAGGAAGGACAGGCCAGGCCTACCGTGTTCAACCTAGCACCAGAACAGGGGTTTTTCTTGCCGTCATCCCCTTGAGAATCACCTGAAGGGGACGGGGGTCACCAGGTGCTCTTTCTAATTGGACCCGGGTTGAATTGAATCCCAAGTTCTCTTTTTGTATCAAACTCCAGGTGTGGTTTTGCAGTGGGTCACAAAAGGCGAAATACAATGCGGTGCCTCGCTAGGTTGAAGGCGGTGCAGCGCTTTACAACGCATTTTGTGACGCAAGGTTTTTGTGGCACCCATATTGCTTGTACAGAGTGGTGATTCCGAAAAGGTTGTGGCGCACAACCCATCTTTTTACGTTAGTCTGTATCTGTTTTTCTACAATTCTCAGGAAGGTTGTGGCCCGCAGCCTTTTCTCTTACGTAAGTCTGACTCTGATGCAATCATGCCGAGACACTGCGTGCTTTTGTTTCTTCAGCGTGCTCTGCTGCATGCCCTGAGGCTTAGTTACACATGCCCTGCATCAATAGTTGAGCGCGCCCCACGGGACAAATTAAGTGCCTCAACGTGTCTTTTGAGTAGACTCAAAAGGCGTGAGTGTTCAACACTAAGTAAAGCACTGTGCTGTGCCCCTCGACTTGATGTTTGTTTGCTGCACAAGGGTGTGGCACTTGGAAGTAAACTTTTGAGTCGACTCACAAGTCAACTTGGATGGAAGTAGTGCCTGATAGGTATGTTGAACAAGAGAGCTGTTCTTGCAGGTTTGTGTATTTTCAATTCCACCAAGAAACATGCATGGGTCCAGACTAGACCGTGGGACTTGTAATTCTGGTCGTTGTTGGCATGAGAGCTTGCTGCATTGCGTACAAGGGCGCATGAGTGAGTATTATCGCTAGCATGACTGCTTCCGCCGGAGGGAGCGATGGAAGTGCGTTTGGCTTTTGAGTAGTGCGCTGGGAGCGATTGCTACCGCTGCAGCGAGCAGAGGAAGTGCATGTGGGAGAGGTGCGCTGGGAGGGACTGCTATAGCTCGAGGGAGTGGTGGAAGTGTGGTATAGAAGTCACTCCAGTGGCTCCTTTCACCTAAGGGGGTGGTGGAAGCATTTGGCCTTTGAGTGCGCTGGGAGGGACTGCTAATTTCTGAGTGCTACTGGTGGAGGGAGCGATGGAAGTGTATGTGGGAGAGGTGGGCGGCGAGCAGGTGGGCATCCACTGGCTTCTGCAGCACACCGTCAAACCCCCCCTCTGCACACCTCTGCACCACTCCGCGATCCACGTCTGCTGTCAGAGCCACTATGGGCACCCGCAGAGACAAGGGCTGGCTGTCACCAGGAGGAGCAGCAGCATCAGGGTTTGCAGCAGCGTTGGAGGCTTTTAGGGGAGAGGCGCTCAGAGAAGACGAACCAGCCCTAGAAGCCCCCTCAATCTGCCCTATTCCTCCTGTCTCCCGTGGCAAAAAACTCTCTCCCCTGCTCCCTCTCCCCCCCCATACGTCCCCCCCAGTCCCCTCCGCAGCTCACTCCCCGCCTGTGCATCTCCCTGGGCGCTGCTGCTCCCCTCCCTGCGCCCTCCCATCTCCCTCCCTGCTGTAGAATCCCCTCTGTCCCAGTCAGCCCTTCTCTGCTCGCCATGCCTCCAGGCCTTGACGTCGCCCCTGGCACCACTGCACCTGTTACAGGGCCTGCTGCTGCTGAGTTTTGAGGCCCCTCTATACCTGTTGCAGGCCCTGCTGCTCTTGGCGCTGTTGCTGCTGCTGTTGCTGCTGGGCCCACATCTGTCATCAGGTGCGCCTCTGGTGCCCTCTCCAACATAAACTTTCTCTCCAGAGCTCGAATCGCCTCTGTCGCTGCGAACCTGTAGGGGAAGCAAGGAGGGAACGTTTGACTTGGTTTAACATGTGACAGCTTGAGACATAAGCATGAGAAGTACCATGAGGCATAAACACCAATGTTCACCACTCACCTGTCATGGCATAACCATGAGGGTGTGCGTGCATGAGTCGTCACTCACCCATCCATGCCCACCACTCACCACCATTCACCACCACTCACAACCACTCACCACCACTCACCCGTCCATGCCCGGCATCTGCAGGTCCATGAGAACCAAGTCGAAGCCATGCTGCAACGATGCACTTCCTGCTCTATCATCCTCTCCTCTTCCACCCCTTCCTCTTCCACTCCCTCCTCTCTCATCCGCTCCTCTCTCGCTCACTCCCCTCGCCCCCGCACCCATCCCTACTATCCGCACTGCTTCCAACTAACTCCCCAGCCGCTATCCCTTGCCTCTACTCTCAACCATCTCGCCAGCCCTCCCAGCACCTGCTCTCACTAGCTCGCCAATCGCCCCTCTCTCCCCCTCCTCCCCTCTTCCCTCTACCAACCCAGCAGCCAGTAAGCCAGCAGCTTCCTCCCCCATCCTCCCTGCCACGCCAGCAGCAATTGGGTCAACGGCCTTCTGCCCTCTCCCGTCGTCCAGCTTTCTGCTCTCCTTGACCCCAGCAGCGATTAAGTCCACTGCTTGTTGCCCGTGGGAGGCGGTGGTGACTTGGGCGCCCCAGCGGGCGAGGGAGCGGCGGGCCACGAGGAGGTTGACGGGCGTGTCGTCCACCAACCAGCACTCGCAGCCCCCCCACCCACGCCCGCGTCACCGCCTCATCCGCCGCCGCCCGCAAGCCTGACCCAGCAGCTGCCCCTCCAGTGGCTGCATTGGCAGAACCGGGTCGAGGAGGGTGTTCGATTGCGCTCATGCTCTTTCTCACGCTCCTCCTGCTCTCTTGCTCTGCTGTTCTCTCGATGGCTCTTGAGCTGTCTTTCTCGTTTTCAACCCTCCCTGTCCCTTTGAGGGGGCCGAGGTGACTTTTGAGTGAGCGGCTCAGGAGTGTTGAGGGCGCTTGAGCACTCTCCCTCGCTGCCCACCAACCGTGTCCCTGCTAGTGATCGTCCCAGTTGCTGCTGGGATGCTTGCTGCTGTTGCTGCTCCTCTTGCTGCTGCTCCTGCTGCTGCTGGCATGACTCAAGTTGATGATAATGGTGTTGCTGCTGACTCGGCACGTTTAGCAGCTCCAATGAATGAGGTTCCTCGTCCGAGCAGTGTTCTTGTAGCGAGTTTTCTTGTATCGAGTGTCCTTGTAGCGAGTGTTCTTGTAGCGAGCAGTGTTCTTGTAGCAAAGAGTGTTCTTGTAGCGAGGGAACGGCCACGGGCACGGAAAACGCCACAGTGGAGCCACAGCCAGGCTGGGAATCAAAGGCAATCTCCCCCTTCATTAGAGTCACCTGCGAGTCGTCAGAAAGAAGTACAACAAAAAAAATGGTGGAGGTCAATTGTTGCACTCATTGCTTCTATTTCACCACTTCCCTCCAAAGCTCGCATATTCATTCGTCCTTACTGAGGTGCCTTCTTGGAGTTTCTGCATTTCTCCAATGTTGCTACCTACTCTGCTATGTTCCCTTAAGACATGCGGAA